TCCCTTCCGTACTCAGCGCTTCGCCGCAATCCTCCACATTCTCCGTGCCCTTCACCCTCTTTCACTCCCCTACCAACACCACCACCACTACTACTACCACTACCATCCTATTTCTACTCTTCCATCCCTTCATCTCTCTTTCTCTTTCTTTCTTTCTTTGTTCAATCATTTTCTTCCAACCATTCCAACGTCGTCATTCTGATCTTTCCTTCTATCTCCATTTCCTTCCTATTTTCTTTCATTTCTTCTTTTTTTTAATTTTATTCACCCCATTTCTTTCCCCTTCTTCTACGTTGTTGTTGTTGTTGTTATTTTTTTTCTTTTATTTTGTCTCTCTCTTTTCTTGTTGCTGCAACGAGTGTGACACAGTTGATGATTTTTATTTATTTGCTTTTTTCTTTTTTTTAATAGATTTTACATGCATCTTTCCGTGTCTCGTTTTATCATGATACATCGGTTTCAATGATACTATTATATACTTTAAATTGTTTAAATAATTTACCACATTGAATTTTGACGTTCACGTCGTATTCTTGTTTCTTAGAAATCATTTGATTTTATTAAAAATTATTTGTACATCTTTATCTTGTTCGTACCTTAATAATAATTAATCTAATTTATAAATTAATAGATATTAGTTCTAGGAAAAAAAATATCATCCAGTTAAATAATCGATTAGTAAAGAACGAAGAAAGAAATGAGGGTTGTTGAGGGGGTGGAGGATGAGAATCTTGGAACGCGAATTGGAATTTTTTGTCTTCCATGTCTTTTGATATCTTACAATTTAATTTAACGTTGAATATTTTCGAAGTTAAATGATGCGTTTATTTCGAAATATCGTACGTTAAATAATTTAGCATTTTAATTTCGAAAGGTATTCACGAATTATACGACCAAAACTTTTTTTTTTTCTCATTTGCTTCGTTATTTAAGTCTACGTCTGTTTACGTGTACGTTTTACTTTTGTTTTTAAAATATAGATATCGAATGGATCAAAGAAGAACTTAAGAGAGATCCTTCGGATTTAATCTCGTTATTCGTGGAATTTAATAAAACATGTTTGATTGTAATAAAGGTATATAGAATGTTGTATTACAAGAATGTTGTAAAATGCACGACAGACAATATTTTTAATCATACGCTTGATAATGAAATATTTTATATATAATATTATCGAATAATTAAAAAAGTAATCTGTTATATTATTAAAACGAAAAAAAAAAAGCTAAAAATAATCCGATTATTTATTGTAAATAATTTAGAATTATTTTAACATGAAACATTTGTACATTTCAATTTTCTATTAAAAATTCTACGTTTATAATTTTGCATTTTAATTTAACTTTAGCGACAATTTTAACAATATAATAATAATAATAATAATAATAATAATAATTATTATTATTATTATTATTATTATTTAAAATACAAGAAGTAAATTAATGGTTAGCTGCATTCAGTCGAAAAAAAAAAGAAAAGGAAAAACATAACTCTCTACTTTATTCATTTAATTTAATTTTTCTTTTTACAATAATTTGTTATATATAACGATAAATATTATTTTAATATTATCTAAAAATAATTTTATTTATTATTTAAACCGGTAGCACACACACACGTACAAATTGTAATATCCATTGAGTTGTAAACAAATCGTAAAAATAAATTTTATAAATTAATAATAAATTAATCGATAAGTTTATCGATTAATATTCGTAGTTATCTATATATACGTTTTCATCTTTATATTAAGTGTATATTTAGTAAATCAAGATAGACCGTCTGTAACAGATAACTTATCGATCCCTTCTAATACTCGAATACTACGCAGCCATTGTTTCTGGAAGTTGTAGACTCTAGGACGATATAATTTAAATATAGATTTTATCGAATAAGGGTAGATTGTACATCATGTGAACGTGATTTAAACACTTACCCTTATATCTTCCTTAGATATATTTACAATTTATTATAGTTCACAAACTGATTTTTCAATCTTACCATTTTATTATAATACAAAATTATATTATAATTATATAATATAATATATAGATAAATGTAATTATATTTATTTACATATATATATATATTATATTTATTTTATTATATTATTATATTATTATTTTATTATTTTATTATATTAGTATTATATTTATATTATTATATTATTGTATTATTATTTTATAATATTAATATTATATATTTATTTTTTATTTTATAATTATATATATTATATAAATATTATTTTATACATAATAATATAATTTTTTATTTATATATATAAATATATATAATATCATTTTATTATAATAGTATCATTTTTAACCTAATTTCAATATATTTATAGTATTTTCAATCACTTTAAAAATACATCTAAATTTTTCTAATGTCAATTAGTTCATCAAATTTTTGAATATGATGACACAATCTGATCTTTCTATATACTTTTATAGTTATGACATTGAAAAAATATATAAGACAGATTTTTAAGATTTACCATCAAACATAGTGATCAATCTATGTCTATCAACTGTCATGAGTATGAGAATATTCTCAGATATATGATTTATTGTATATCAAAGCTGTATCACACCTAGTATGGCAATTTTAGTTGCATTAATGGAGTATTATTTGAAATGTAAATACTTATCAACGAAATATTGATATATTCAATTAATCTACGTATATCATCTATAAAATATTATCTTAATTATCTTCAATCATTTTTATTTTACATTGTTTCTCAATTTCGTTTAAACCTGACTCTATATTAACGAGTTTATCGCGTAAAATAAATAAATAAATAAATAAATAAATAAATAAATTTATGAATAAATAAAATGTTAATTTTAATCTTCACAAATTAAATGTGAAGATGAAGTTAAATTTTTTAAAAGTTATAAGCATTTTGCATTTTTTTTTTTAAATTTAATTTGAAAAATGTGCTTCCTTTAATTATCGTCAAAATAATTTTGTTATTATTATTAAGAAAAGAAGAATAATTAAAATACTTTATTAGATAATACGTATTCCGTTGAACGTCTATGTGGACGTAAAATTTTGCTCGTTGAAATACAATTGAAGGAAAATTGAGATAGAAAAGAAACAAAAATAAGAAAAGAAAAAAGGATACTGTAGTAGTCGAGAGAATAGGGTAATAATATCGCATAAAGTTTAAAAATGTATATTTTCGTTGGTAGCGTAGAAAATTCCTCTCCTCTGGCTGAAATAGGAAAAGGTTTTTTCTAAGAAAAACAAAAAAAAACTATGGAGAGAGAGAGAGAGAAAGAGATAGTAATAAGGAAAAAGAAAATAATAGAAGAAAGTAGATAAAAGATAATGCATCTGGTATGTTACAAATAATTTAATTAATTAATTTGAAAAATAATCTCACAATCATAATTATTTCGTTTATTTGATCATTCGATAATTATAAAAGAATCTTATCGAATAATTTTAAATAATTATCACACACGTAATAGGTGCATATGATTGGTAAAAAGAACAAAATATCTAAAGTTATGTTAATTTAAATGTATGATAAAAATAATTCTTAAAAGCTTACAAAGATATTTTTTTTTTTTTTGTAGTTATATTACAAAATCAGCTACTTTTATTTGTACGTTATTACTGCAAATTATGAGAATAAGCTTATAAATAATTATTACGAATAATACGTGTGTGTTATATAATTGAATAAAAAAAATAGAAAAAAATCTATGTTATATTAAAAGTAAGATAACCAAAATTTGTTGAACATTTTAAAGATTTACAAGGATTATTCCATTTTTCTAACAATTAAAAACATCATTAAAAATAATGTAAAATCATTATCATTAAAGCAATATATATATTTTATAGATTAATACATATATTTAATATATTTAATTTTTACATATAATTTTGTATGCATATATGTATAAGATATTTTAATTTTAATTTTATATTATTATTATTATTATTATTATTATTATTATTATTATTATTATTATTATTATTATTATTATTATTATTATTATTATTGAACTGTATATTATGTACAAGTTTATTCGTATTTAATAAATACAATTTATTAATTTAAAAAAATAAAATATTTTACATATTATATATAAAATTAGGTTTAATTAAAGTTATGAAATAAAAAAGATATTGTTTAAATAAAGATCTTGAATATACGTATACTATGATGAATTAACTGGTTTCTAAGCTTAATATCAGTAGGTATTAGTACCTAACTATTAATGTCAAATGGCTTCAATCGAAATTACAGCAAACTCATGCAACATTGGTGATCTAGCAGACGTCGGATCGCGTAGGTACATCGTATGTGGGCTTTCGGTAAACGGACCGATATAACTAGACATCCGATACACACCTAACGTTGACCTGAATCGTCATACTCGATTGATTTTCACGAAAGATGAGGATTCGACGTGTGTCATCTGATAAATGGCATGATGTGTTACCTTCTCTCTCTCTCTCTCTCTCTTTCTCTTTCTCTTTCTCTCCAAATTTTCAGTCACATTCTATTATTTATATATTCACATTATATTACATGTAACATTTATAATTTAACAATTCAGAGAGACATTTAGTACTTTTAAAACATTCTAAGGGTGTTACGGTTAAAACAACGTTTATCAATTATCAATACCAATACCATAAATGTACAACTTGTATTTAAACACTTTTCAACGAATTGTTATCATCGTTTTCCTTTTAATATGTATGAACAATTTATATATTAAATTTGTGCAAGTGCATGTGCAATGGCAAGTGCAGGTGGAGGTATATATGGCTGGACGTTTATATACATATAAATATATTTATTTTTTTCTTATAAATCAAAAGCTGGTTAACAATGCTTTAATATAAACGTTATTAAACGTTTAATAAAACGTTTTCGCAATTATAATATTTATTTGTAATATAACCAATTATAATATTTAAATATCGAAATGGAACGATTATTATATTCCTATATTGTATTTTTGTTATAGGTGCTATTTTCGAGCAGGGTACCGACGAGGTTCAATCTGCTTTCAAGTTCGCCATGTTTAACCATAACAAGAATACCACCATGAGAAAATTTGAACTGCAAGCTTTCGTCGATGTTATTAACACGGCAGATGCTTATAAACTTTCACGTTTGAGTGAGTAAAACAAAAATTCTAAACATTTATAAATATTATATATATATACTTAAAAGAATTAAAAAAAAAAAAAAAAAAATAGTATTACAAATCAATTAATAATTCCTACGATTAAAAACAAAATACATTCTTAATACTTGAACAAGTATCAATTATCATTTAAAGTTTTATAATTAAAAGTATACTATATTCACAAAAATTGGCAAATACAAATGCGAGAGAATAAAAGAACGAACGTGCATTAAAAATTATTCGACGTTAATAATTTATCTGTCTCGTTTTTTTTTCTTTTTAAATAAAAATATATAAAAAAAAAAAATAAATAAAAACAAGAGAAACTGAACAAAGTCTTGTTCGTTCGGCACGAACGACACAGGTTTCTATTAATACAACCCGAAGACTCATTTTTATGTCTCATCGTGTACCGTGAAAATCGATTTCAGCGTGTTTTGTTTCCGATATCAGGTAGGGAAGAACCCAAGAGAATGTCAGAAATGCGCCAATGGCCGAGTTATCAACAATAGTCGACCAACGACGCGACGATATGTGCCGGAAAACGGGCTACAACGCACAACCCATTGAGAGTCCTCTCCACGAATCTGTCCATTGAGAAATAAGCAATGTTTCCTTTCTCTTTCTGACTCCCTTTCAACCTTTTCTCCTAACGGAGATTTCTATCATTATCGAAACTTTAACAAATTTTACATTTTTATCACCAATAACTAAAATTCATTACGAAACATAAAACTTTAAATTGAGCTTTGTTAAATTGAAATTTTAAAATGAGAATTTTAATTAACGTATTGTTTAAATATACCGTATCGTTTTTTATATTTTTTTTTTGGAATACATTTTAAATAAATTATTTATCAAGGGTTTGATATTCATTGTTAAGGGTTCGATTCATTTGATTAATATTCTATGTATGAATGTTTAATAATTTTCACAAAAAAAGAAAAGACGCTTATATTATTTCATCCTATTATCCATGAACAATAATACACTTATTCGTTTGATATGTGTAAAATATGTATATATATATAAAATATTATACTATAAAGTATTATAATTAATATTTAATAAATATACTATATTATATTATATTTAATAAATTACTAATGACAATGATACCTTTGATGGTATTAATCGTATTAATGTTATACAGTTTATACAGGATGAAAAAGTATTGATACTCGTTAAACTGGTTCTTAATAATCATTGGAAAATAATAATAGGGTTTGTTAATAAGCTTAATTTTTATTGATAATCATTATTATTGTGTGAAAAAGTTTATTATTTTATTTCTTTTTCTTTTTAAATCATTGTGTAGTATTCATTGAAAATAATTAATAAACGATCGATAAGGTTTCGCGGTCTATTTCTAAAATAAAATTTTATATTATCTTATTATTATATTTATAAAACATTTAATATCAAAGTATATCACGTAAATGATTTTAAATACTGTTTGTTATTATTAAAAGATACCTTAAACAAAGTTTGTATTATATTTAAAAGGGATTTATCAATGTACTAATTACTTCCTTCCCCCCCCCCCACTATTATTAACATTAATTATTTTTAATATAATAGATAAACTTTGATCTTGTGATTAGAAAGTATCAAATTAATTGACGATCAAATAATTATTACATATATTTTTTTTTTTTTTAAATACAATATATAGAAATACAATAATAAAAATAAATAAACATTTTAGATTGTGTTGAGAGAAAGAAAAGACAGACATAAAATTTACAACAAAATTATTATTCCATCCTGTAATGGGTTCATTTAACGTATAATAAACTTTCGTTTAAAACTGTAACTTGTTTAAAGAACAGTTGAAAAAAAAAAAAAAAAAGAGAGAGAAAAAACATTTTGACTGGCACATTTAGATTGTAGAAAACAATTACGAAAAAATAGCTATATTTAGAAAACAATTTTAATTTTTTCATATTCATTTATATCTTTTTTATCTCTTTTATATTTTTATATTTTTTATATTTAAATATTTGAAAAGTGCACATTTAATAAATAATATATTCAAATAAATATTTAAAAATAACACAATTATACGTTAACCCTAACAACTTTTGTTTTAAACTACTGTTCGGTACAACAAATATATATATATAAATAATATACTATATATATTTGAAAAAATAAAACGTTGATGTTAGGTTAAGGATAAATAAAAGTTATATAAATATAACTATTGCTTATAAAAAGATAATAATAGTTAGAGTTCAGGAGTATCTTTGGATCAAGGAAAGGAAAATAAATGGAACGCGATTGAATATAATGAGAGTGCATCTTTATCCATACAGGTTTTACCCTTCAAACCTTCAGTTCTCTTCTCCTCCCTCTCCCTTCCACCCTTGTTCCCTTTCTGCGTATTCTCTCGAGCTTTTTCATATAACGAGGTCGTCACTAGATTGCCTCGTTCGTTCGTTCATTCGTTCGTTTCTCTTACGCAAAAACTGATAACTTTCACGATCATCTATGTTGTACCTGTGTGAACGACCAATCCTCTTTTGCGTCTTTTTTATGAATAGGCGAGAAACGTCGATAACAATTTCAACGATGTAGCTTCAAGGATTTTTTTTTTTTAAAGGTGTTATCTTTGATATCCGAAACTTTTTGGCATTATTTCTTTGTGTGTGTGTGTGTCTCTCTCTCTCGCTCTCTCTTAACGTTTCCATTCAAACAAAAATATTTTTCAAACAAAAATATTTCAAAAGCTTCGACTCAATCGGCTTTTATTTTTTTTCCCTGTATTTTTATTATTATTATTATTATTATTATTATTATTATTATTATTATTATTGTGTAATAAAATTTGTTCCAAATAAAAATTGTCTCGATCCTCGTATTATTATTTTTTTTTTTGCCATTTTCTATTTTTAATTCTATAATGATAAAGTAAAATAATAATGAAAGGGGATGGTATGAGAGTGGGGGAGTAAGGGAATAATTAATTAGTAACTACGCTGATAGGGATTAGATCGTAGAATAATTAAAATAAAATCATTCGATTAATAATAATATCGTTATATTATTAATTACAAAAGTTAATCATTCTCAACCGACATTGCGTTAATTAATTTAAGATCTTATCAGGATATTGCAATAATCTATGCAATATAAAACGCGACAAAATTTTACTCCAACGATATTTTTATTGAATATTATCGAAAACAAATACAACACCCCCTACTTTTATCTCGATCATTCCTATCCAAATCTATCCAATATTATCAATACTAATGCTAATACTAATAATAATCAATAGTCATGAATAGATAAGGTTGAAATGTCTGTTCAAATCTCAAACATCTTACATTAGTCAACGTTATCAATTGTATCAACGTAATCGATTATATATCATTAGGAATATTATTAGTGAACAATTTGATATCAGATAGTACGATGATAACATTGATCTACGAGTATGGGTTAAATGATAAGGAGGTGGGGAGTAGGTGTGCCAAACTAAAGAGGGAAAGGGGTGGCTTGTATTTGTAACATTGGATAGATCCGTAAACGACATCCCTGAGTATTTGGGCCAAGTCCAACGGATATGGAGATCGTGGTACGCGTTACGGGTACTTAGCAAAGCTGTGCTAATTGTATTAATGCTAGCTGTTCTCTCCCCCACCCCAACCCCACCTCTAGCCTTCTCCCGATCCCTCGTCTCCTCTCCAACCTTCCCTTCACCCTTCTCTTACAACCCTCAAAGCCAGAGGCCACTACTGTTATAATCCTATAGCTGGTCGCGTTTACTACCTGCTAAATCTATTGTCGAAACGCGGTCTGCTTAAATTGCTTTCACCGGATGCTCAAACTAAACGACGTTATCCTTCACATTGGCAAATACCTCCCTCACCCCCATACCGTCCTTCACCCTATGATGGACTCTGAATCATTTACCTTTAGAATATATTGGTTTTTTTTTTTCAAGAGATTTTTCTAATTAGTATATATACTTGATTTATTTAATATTTAATGTTTAATATTATGCAATATTATATATTTAAAAATTAATTATTGTGAGATAGTTATATATCATTTTATTTAATTTTATTTTATTTTAATTTTATTTTATTAACTAGTAATAGGTTGAATTTGATTAACTTTGTTAAGTGTTAGAATAGCAATGTGTATCCTTTGTTAACGATCTTTGCTACACCTTGTGTTAAGAAGATTACTTTATTTTATTTTATTTTATTTCATTCTCTTTTCCTTTTGTTTAATAAAATTAAACTTAAATTAAATTTAATAAATTTATCTCTCTCGATTTATATGACAATATAAAGGATACTTTTCTTGTATTATAGTTAGTGACAATTTTTACCTACATTTTTCTATAATATTGCAGAATAAATACGAAGATAGAAGTAAGAGAATAAAGAAAAGGATTTTTGTCAATATTGTCATCTTAAACGTAACCTTTTATTTAGATACCCTTTTTTTTGTAATCTATTTGAATCTTCTTCTTTTAATATTGTCTTTTCGCATAAAAAAAAATAGAGTAAAAGAAAGAAGAAGAAAAAAAGGAAAATGGAAAGAGAATGAGATAGTGGAAAAGAGAGAAAAGATAGGAAGAGGAAGAAAAAAAAAGAAGAAAAAAAAAAGGGGGAAGACATAAAAAGCTGGGAGAATATATAGAAAGATAGAAAAAGATAGGTAAAGGGGTGAATGAGGTGTAAGGGGGATGAGACACGAGAATATTGTGGTGGAAGAAAGAAATGAGAGAAAAAGAAAGAAAGAAAGAAAGATAGTCTATGTGTGTGTGTGTGTGAGAGAGAGAGAGAGAGAGAGAGAGAGAAAGAGAAATAGAAAGAGAGAATGAAAGAGCAAAGTTAGAGAAAGGATGGTGAGAAGGACGAAGGACGAAGTACGAAGGACGATGACTGGAGATGGGAAAAGCGACGACTATGTGGAAGATTGGGGAGAAGGAGGAAGGGGTTTAGAACCGTGGAAAGAGGGTTATTCAG